CTTCCTACTTGTTAAACCATGTGTATGACGGACCATGTGTTTTCATCTCGATCAACAAGCAATAACAAATTGTATCTTGGAAGTCACGCATTCCAGTGGAGATTATTGGTGACGCCATGTGGTTGGAGTGCTCCTCGACCTTTAGTGTTTCATTAAAATTGCCGAAGATTAACCAAGGTTTGTTCCGAATCAGAGGTAGATCTTAGTGGTGTTTCAGGTCCCCCCAAAGTTCCTTTCTTTCCTCTGCAGTGTTTAATGCATAAGTGAATGAACAGAAAAAATAAATTCTACATACCATTTAGCAGAATGGACCATGTGATAATTTGTTCACTTGTATAGCATGGGGTAACACGCACTCGCGGACCCCATAGAACTCATATCCTCCCTCGCCTATTGTGTTTATAATTTGATAGAAATGATTACCCTTGAAATATTGAAGAAACGATTGTAGGTGCCTTCTTTTCTTTGAAATACTTCTCTAACTTACATTTTATGTCAAATCAATAAATGTCAAAAATATTTAATGACTTTAACATGTGTTAGCAATACTTAGCATGTAGCACCCACTTAATTATTAAATTTATATGTCACAATATTATGAAATATTTCACACTAAGTGTTTTTTATTGAAAATAAAAATTGTTCAATTAATAGTGAATCTACTGATATTCATGAAAAAAATCGTATATTACATTAGAAAAACTCTTTAATCTTTATTACAATGAATGACCCACGCAACACGACTTATCCCCTTACTATATATATAGACGATATCCTTAAACACAAAAATAGAGAATATCCTTAAACACGTAAATTTGTATGCGCTAACTCATGGGAAGGTCAAATGATGAGCCGTTTGATCTAGACAGCAAATGGAACATCTTCATAACATTAACAGAATCAGATACAGGTTCGAGTAGTACCATAACGATTCCGAAAGAGTTAGTAGAAGCCAAAATATTTCCTTGGTGGCCAAGAGATCGTTCCTTACGACTGTTAGAGCCAAACTCGTTTGAGATGGTGGATCTCTTTGAATTCGATTCTAAAATTACAACAACTGTGTTTATGAAAAGAAACGAAGATGGAAATTTCAAATTACAGGATGGGAGATACTGTTGGATTTTGGTGGGATAAAAATTTCAATAGACTTAATTTCGAACTACTCGTGATTGCTTAGTTTGATGGAGCTGGTCTTCACAACTTCATTTCTCGAAAAAGGAAGCTTTCTTTTGTCTGTTTGATCAAGTCTGGTTTGTTGCTTTTAAATTTATATTATGATTTGCTGATCTTTTGATTAAGTTGTTTTAAACTCTACTTCTAGAGAGTATGAATGTTCGAATATATATCTCTTTGGCTTTACATTAAAGAGTCAAGATAATAGTTCTCCAGTTTTTTTTTCTGTTTCGACGACATTTAAAGTTAGCATACTGATCGACACAGCTTTTTTAAGCCGAGAAAGTTGAGAATTTTTTTTTCTTCTCGAAACCCATAAACTGAGAATTGAAAAGTCGAAGATTCGCACGTTGATTTAGCAAAACTAATCAAATTAGGCACTGTTAATTAAGAGAAATTACTGCTCAAAAACTTGAGAGCAGAGGTTGCCTCAAATATACTATGCAAATCGAATGTCGACATAGTACTATATATGCCATCATTATAAGAAATCAACACACTAATAACCCTTGCTTCTCTCCAGAAGATAACACATCATATTTTTCAAGCTTTACAAATATGACACTGCATAAAAAAAATCACCAATCAAAATATTTTATAAATACAACTTATCTACTTATTTTAACTTCTAAACTTAAGCCCATTATATTTTTTTTGGTTAAGTTTGAGATTTTCTACAAATAAATCAAAACAATTATCCAAATTTGCTAGCCTTTTTTTTTCAAAACCCATTAGAAATCCCAATTGATTAGTGAGACATCCTCCCATATTTATTCGATTGTATATTTTATTTATTTGATAGATTAATAGTTAATATTTATAAAACGTTATAATGATTAGAAAGACGACGAATAATATTTAAATTTGTTTGAATACAAGATAAATGGTACGCGATAAAAAAATGAGAAAAGCAGGAAATTAAAGAAGGCGCAAAGAAGAAAAAAAAACATTACACGAATATGTAATGCATCGCTTTTCCTATGAGGCTATCACGAATACGATGCCAATGCTGAGGATGTCAAAAAGAAAAAACAAGATTCGAAGTTATGGAGAACCTCTTTCATATTCGACATCTTTTTTTTAGTAGACGAACCTTTTTTAAAGAGAGAATCAACACAATAATCAACACCAATGTCTCTCTATAACTTGACATCTTAGCTTTTTCAAATTACCAGAAGCTGACACATCAGCAAAATTATTAAACCAATCAAAACATTTTAATTAATACACAGTATCTGCTAATTTAATTATTCTAACTTAAACCTATTAAAAATCCAATTTTTTTTGTTAATCTTTATTTTATTTTTTTGCCAAACCAAAACACAAATAATAAATAACAACAAATAAAAATATTAAATCTTTGTTTTATTCTTTACCAAACCCAAACCTAAATAAGAAATAACAGCAACTAAAAAAATTAAAATTTCTAACTATTTATTTACTTGACAGAGACATGTATGATTGAAGAAAATATAGGCTCAGCATCAACTATGCTTCCATGACAACAAAGCAAAAATCCTTATGTTATAAGAAGTTCACACATCAGCAAAACTTTAAACCAATAAAAACATAACAATAATACATATCATCAACACAATAATAAAATCAGTTTACTATATTACTTACCCACTGAAAATCCCTAAGTTTACATATAATGGAGGTCGAAAGCAAATGAGGAGAAGCTCAGACCACCACAACATAGAAATTCGTACTTTCGGTGGTTACCGAGAACAAATCAATATTTTTCGATTATTCTCCGTCGTTAAGCCTCACATGAGAGCTTTCCATCTCTCATGGTTTCAATTATTCTGCTGCTTTGTATCCACTTTTGCAGCTCGGGCTTCCTCCCATTCATTCGTGAAAACTTCAATCTCACCGCCTTTGACATCGGAAACGCTGGAGTTACCTCTGTTTCTGGCTCGGTCGCTTAGTTTTTCGGTTTTGACTTGAAAGAAAATTTTCATGGTTTAAACAGGAAAACAAAAATTTTCGGGTTTGACGAATAAATGAGATTTTCCTGTTTTGGCGCGAAAATGATTTTTTTTTTATGGAAAAATACGATCGGTTTGATGAGAAAATAAAATTTCTCAATTTTGACGGGAAACAAAAAATTTCGGTTATGATGGAAAAACAAAATATTTTGATTTTGACAGGAAATGCGAATTCTCAGTTTTGATAGGTAATGCATTTTTTCTGTTTTTGATAGATAATGCGATTTCTTGGTTTTCGCAAGAAAATACAATTTCATGATTTTTGCGCGAAAATGCAATTTGATGATTTTGGTAGAAAATTGCAATTTTTAAGTTTTGTTAGGAAAGCATGATTTCTCGGTTCAACAAGAAAACAAATTTTATCTGTTTGACAGGAATATAGAATTTTTCGGTTTTGGCGGGAATTGAGGTTTTCATAGTTTTGGCGGAAAAATGTGATTTTCAGTTTTGGTGGTAAAACAAAATTTCTTAATTATGAAGGAAAAATATGATTTCTCAGGTTTGATGGGAAAATGTGATTTTTGGTTTTTGTGGGAAAACAAAAAATTTTGTTTTCGACAAAAAAAAATAAAATATCTGTGTTTTGACAGAAAAATATAATCTCTCGGTTTTGATTGAAAATGCAACTTTTTGATTTTGATGAAAAATGCGATTTCTCGGTTTGATGGGAAATGCAATTTTTCAGTATTTGATGGATAATGAATTTCTTGGTTTTCACGGAAAAATATAATTTCTTTGTCTTCGCGAAAAAATGCAATTTGATGATCTTGGCAGAAAATACAATTCTTCGGTTTAGTGGAAAAACAAAATTTCTCAGTTTTGATGAAAAAATACAAATTGTCAATTTTTGACGCATAATGCGATGTCGTGGTTTTTGCCGAAAAACACATTTTTTTGCAGAAAATGTAATTTCTCAGTTTTGGTAGGTAAACATGATTTTTGGTTTGACGAAAAAATAATTTTTTTTTTATTCAATAAACCTCTTTTTAAAGATGCATTTTGCGTTATATACTTATAAGGGAGGATAGTGGGAAAAATAAATTATATTTGTCATTAGCATGAAGGTACTTAAAAATATATTATTTTATTCTTACATATACATTTATAGTTAATTAGTTAAACAAATTTGATAACAAATTATAATTTAAAAAAGTAAAAATTATTTTAAGAATATACAATGTTTATTCAGATTTAAAACATAAAAATACATAACTTAAGGTAATAAAAAATAAATATAATATTTATTTAGATTATAAAATAAATTGATTATATTAAAAGTATATATAAAATTTCAAAAATTATCCCGCAACAGAGTGCATATAAATACATAATATATATAATAATGTGTCTTATTGCGTAAATCTCTTACATGTTATTGTTTCACCATTTGTAATATTTATGTCATTATATTATTTTCTTTCATTTTCAAAACGAAGATATTTTTGTATATATTATAGTATATACAAATTACTATAGCCATGATTTTCATATAGTTAAATTATTTATTATTAATTTTTTATGGTTATTTTTGCTAAAATTCCTATAAAAAACTTAATACTAGTTTTTTTTGTTAATTCATGCGATTTCGGTTTTTACGAAAAAATTCATTTATTTTTTTTTTTTTTTTTAACAGAAATAGTACTCACACGATTTGAAAAAACACTTTAATCATCCACGGCTCATACATATTGAGCATTATTTGAACACCCAGAAAGGCACACGGTTTAAAAAGACATTTTAATAATCCACCGCTCATATACATATCGGGCTAACATAAAGAAAGTATGCATAGTATATCACACGATTTTAAAACACCAAAGAGCTTGGCAGAGAGATCTACATCAACCCTCTCTCCATCTTAAAAGCAATGACCTTCTCCTCGTTCTGGCGAGCCATCTCAATACAATGAGCTGGAACACAATAGCCAACACGACGAAATTCCAAGGGGCCAAGGGGCGTGTTACTTCTCGCTGTTGCTACGCGAGTAACAGCTAATTCCCTTCCTCCCACTTCAGTTCCATCAAGTGTCAGCACCTTTTCTTCTTCGTCTTCTCGGGAAAAATATATATCAGCCTTGCTTCGAGAGTGCTGATATAAACATGCGTGATCTCTCCGCAAGAAGCCAAGTGTTTGATCAAAGTGCTCTTCATCTCATCCGAAGGAAGCGAAGTGTCATATCCCTCAACGGTAATGCCAAACCTACTGCAGTTTCATTTGCATTTGCATGTTATAATCAACAAACACATCTTACACATGCAAATCCCCACACACCAAACACACAAAAAGAGAAGGCATATCAACTTACCATCTTATGTCCTCGCGTGTCTCTTTGCCAAGAGCGGCTCGATAACGTTGAGTCTCCTCGTCTTCTATCGGTGTAACTTAACACGACCAATCCATCCTCCCACGTCACTTCCATTAAGTTGCAACGCCTTCTCCTCTGCCCCATCTCCGCGAAGAACAACAAAAGCACACGTCCGACACGACCTTCAGAGAATTTAACATTAAAGACTTCGCCGCACGAAGCGAAGTGATTAGCCAACGCCTTCTTGATATCTTCACCAGGAAGCGAAGTGTCGTATCCCTCAACGGAAATCCTAACCCGGGGCTTGCTGGTTTCCTTCATGAAGGCTTCCATAGCAGCTTCACTCTCGAACAACTTAAATTCCTTCCCTTTAACGGGGAATCTCTCGCTAGAGTGCTTGCCATGGCGAATTCGAGAAAAGGTATTAACCCTAAGCTGCCGCTTTATAAAGATCTGTTTTCTATAAAAGAAAAAGAATACCAAATTAAAAGAAAATAGAAAAGAAGCAAAAGGAAAATCAAGGAACAAAAGAAATTGGGCAAAAAAAAAAAAAAAAATCATGAAAAAGGCAAACAAAGAGAAAGGAAGTTGTAATAATATGAAATAGCGATTTACTATTTTTATAACACCTGACCTAGCTATACTCTTAACGAAACGATACCAAAATCTCATTCTCAATTACCAAAACCAAAATGTCTTACATAACCCAACTTAAAATAAAATCAACCAAAACCAAAGTATTCAAATGAAATCTTTTAAAATAAATATCGATTAACTAAAATAAAGAATAAAAACCATGTTTCCCAAATCGAGCACCACACCAGAACGACTATTTTTACACTACTTGAGCTTACCTGCAAAAGGAAGAGGGGTGGGTAACTGTATTACTCAGTGAGGACAAGTCTAATGGACTCACGAATTCACCACAAACGACTTAACCACACCACACGTAAGTCTAAACTTAAAACATGTAAACAATCATTATATCACTAAATGCATACTCAAGATCACATAAAAAATCATATTGTTTCAGTGCATCCGCACTTATCGTTTCAGTGCATAGCACCTAGCAGTCCTTATCCGCACTACGTGCCCATTGCACCTCTTGTAATCATACATCATTATTTCACATGCATCACATAATCATACTATCACTTAATACATTCGTAACTCTAACACCCTATTACGTATTCAGTCTCACGTATACTAAACATACGCACCACACCACAATCAAAGCAAACATCACACACAAGTTCCTATCTAACATCCTAATCCAGATCCGATCATACACATGCATGTATATAAGCGTGAGTAACTCATGCAACGATTTAACAGCCATGTACATATTTTAATTCTAAACTTAACGGAAACGTAAAGCTAAGGCGGTTCTGGGAAATCACAAGCTTGTTCCTCACCTTAGCTTTGAAAGGAAAGAAGGGACGGGTCAATTGAGGAAGAGAACACACGGATATGATATGGTGACTTTCTGCCCAAGTAACAATTAAGGTTTGCTTGAAACTCTCGCCGCTTATCGACGATGTTGGAACTTGGCTAAGATGAAAGTGATTTCGTCCCCAATGCTATTCAGCTCGTGGTGATGGCAAGACACGGTGAGATCAAAGGTTCGTCTCGTTAGACGAATACGTGATGTAGTGCAACAACGGTGATCCTAATCTCTCTATCTTGCTCTCTCTCTGCTTTACGATTTAGAACAAAAGTGGCTAGGTTTTTTTTTTTCTGGTTTTGCTTTTCACGAAGAAGAAGATATAAACGCGCATATATATATATATATATATATATATATATTACAGTCGATGGTTTTATGGCAAATAAGGAATGGACTTAATGGGCTAACTTTTTAAATGGGTCACGAGAAAAGGAAGATGGTGGGCTTGGGGTGTTACATTTTTTGTTTAGAATCATAGCACAAATCAAGAAAATAGAAAAGAAGAAAAAGGAAAATCAAGGAACAAAAGAAATTGGACAAAAAAAAACCATGAAAAAAGGCAAACAAAGAGAAAGGAAGTCGTAATAATATGAAATGGCGATTTACTATTTTTTTGTTTAGAATCATAACTCTATAAATAGAGTTTTAGACTTAATGTATAAAAAACATCACAAATCACAAAGACCACAAAAGATCAAAGAGAGAGAGAGAGAGAGAGAGAGAGAGAGAGAGAGAGAGAGAGAGAGAGAGCTAATAAAACAAAGGTTTAAAAGAGAAATTACTGTGGTTCATCAAAATCCCAACACTAACTAATGGAAGAGCCGTTTGACAGGAACTTCTTCATAACATTGACAGAGTCAGAAACTGGTGCGAGTAGTACGTTAATGATTCCGAAAGAGTTGGTAGAAGCCAAAATATTTCCTTGCTGGCCTGCAGCTCGTTCCCAAAGACTGTTACAGCCAAACTCGTTTGAGATGGTGGATCTCTTTGAGTTCGATTCTAAAATTACAACAACGGTGGCTATGAAAAGAGACGAAGAAGGAAATTACAAATTACATGGATGGGGTTGCGTTCACGGTAAAAGAAATTACAGGATAGGAGATACTGTTGGATTTTGGTGGGATCAAAATTACCGTAGACTTAATTTCAAACTACTCTTGATTGCTTAGTTTGATGGAGCTGATCTGGTTTGTTGCTTTTATATTTATATTATGATTTGCTGATCTTTTGATTAAATTGTTTTAGTTCTATTTAAACTCTACTTCTAGAGACTATGAAACCATAAGATAAATCTCTTTGGTTCTACATTAAAGATAGCCTAGAAAACCATAAATTAAGAATCCAAAACTCGAAGATATTACTAGTAAGTTAATTTAGCAAAACTAATATCTCAAAAAAAATATTTTAAGCAAATGTCAGAAGTAATATAAGGGTTAATTACTATATTAGGATTCCAAATTAAGAATATAACTCATAAAGATTTTATATTTAAAAAGTAACCAAAAATCCGGAATTCTATATTATATGACCAAAATATCTTTATAATAAACTATTTGATAAAAAAATAGTGTAAGCATAGATTATTCACGTCATCTTCTTTAAAGACTTTATATGATCTGATGTTATTTTAGTTATAAAAAAACTATATAGTATCAAAAAATCTTTTTTATGCAAAATGCAATCTGCGGAATTGGGTTTAGTATTCTATAATATGTAATTTATATAAAAAAATTGTTCAACCAATAAATTTGTCGAAATCATGATTAAATTTTTTGCTTAATACTTATATACTAATCATCTAAGTTGGTCTATAACAGATTAAGTTCACATATTTTAAAAATAAACTCAAGCCATTACATACTATACCCAAACCTTATACATATACCCTCGTTTTATAAATTTAAAACTAAACTCAAACCACTACATATTATACCCAAACCCCGTACATATATTTTCGTCTTATAAATTTAAAATTAAATTCAAGCCACTACATACTATACCCAAACCATGTGCATATAAATAAAGCATATTCTACTGCAAATCTTACATGCATATCGTTAAACCCAATATTCGTAAATTTGTATGTGCTAACTCATGGGAAGATCAAATGATGAGCCGTTTGATCTAGACAGCAAATGGAATATCTTCATAACATTGACAGAATCAGATACAGGTTCGAGTAGTACCAAACGATTCCGAAAGAGTTAGTAGAAGCCAAATTATTTCCTTGGTGGCCAAGAGATCGCTCCATAGGACTGTTAGAACAAAACTTGTTTGAGATGGTGGATCTCTTTGAGTTCGATTCGAAAATTACAACAAGTGTGTTTATGAAAAGAGACGAAGATGGAAATTTCAAATTACATGGATGGGGTTGCGTCCACGGTAAAATAAATTACAGGATGGGAGATACTGTTGGATTTTGGTGGGATAAAAATTTCAATAGACTTAATTTCGAACTACTCTTGATTGCTTAGTTTGATGGAGCTGGTCTTCACAATTTCATTTCTCGAAAAAGGAAGCTTTCTTTTGTCTGTTTGATCAAGTCCGGTTTGTTGCTTTTAAATTTATATTATGATTTGCTGATCTTTTGATTAAGTTGTTTTAAACTCTACTTCTAGAGAGTATGACTGCTCGAATATATATCTCTTTGGCTTTACATTAAAGAGTCAAGATAATAGTTCTCCAGTTTTTTTTTTTCTGCTTCGACATTCAAAGTTAGCATAATGACCGATACAGCATTTTTAAGTCGAGACAGTTGAGAAAATTTTTTTTCTCGAAAACCATAAACTGACAATTGAAAACTCGAAGATTCGTACGTTGATTTAGCAAAACTAATCAAATTAGGCACTGTTAATTAAGAGAAATGACTGCTCAAAAACTTGAGAGCAGAGGTTGCCTCAAATATACTATACAACAATTAAGAAGAATACATTTTACTATGCAAATCGGATGTCGTTCGACATAGTACTATATATATACATCAGATTTTTCAAACTTCTCTCATATATATGCTATAATTATAAGAAATCAATACTATTATAACCCTTGTAACTTTCATGTAGATGACACTTCAGCTTTTTCAAGCTTTCTTAAGATAACACGTCGGCAAAAAAAATTACCAATCAAAATATTTTATTAATATAATTTATCTATTTATTTTAACTTTTAAACTTAAACCTACTAAAAACTCAAATACTTTTGTTAATCTTTATTTTATTTTTTACCAAACCCAAATCCAGATAATAATTAATAGCAAATAAACAAAATTCTAGCTATCTATTTGTTTGACAAAGACGTATATGATTGGAGAAAGTGTAGGCTCAGCATCAACTATGCTTCCATAACAACAATGCAAAAAAACTAATGTTATAAGAAGCTCACATCTCAGCAAAAATTTGAATTAATAAAAATATAACAATAAGACATATCATCAACACAATAAATAAATAAGATTATTATTTTGCTGACCCATTAAAAAGCCCAAAGTTTACAGAAAAAAATGGAAGTAGAAAGCAAATGAGGAGAAGTTCAGACCACCACAGCTTCGAGATTCGCATTTCCGGTGGTTAACGAGAACAAATTTTTGTGGCTTTGGCGAGAATAGGGAATTTCTTGGTTTTTGTAGAAAAATGTGATTTTTTCAGTTTTGGTAGGAAAACATCATTTCTCAGTTATGTTGGAAAAAAAATCGAATTCTCGGGTTTAGCGGAAAAATGTGTATTTTTGGTGAGAAAACAAAATATCTTAGTTTTGACGAGAAAATGCGATTTTTTGGTTTTGACGGGAAATGCAGTTCTTTAATTTTGACGAAAAATGCGATTTCTCGGTTTTGATAGAAAATGCAAATTTTTGGCTTTTGATGGATAAAGTGATTTCTTGATTTTCGCAAAAAAAATGTGATTTCTTACTTTTCATGGGAAATTGCAATTTGACAATTTAGGCAGAAAATGCAATTTTTCGGTTTTGGCGATTTCTCGGTTTTGATGGGAAATACAAATTTTTTGTTTTTCACATATAATGTGATTTTTTGGTTTCGCGGGAACACAGTTTCTTAATTTTTGCAGGAAATGCAATTTCTCAAGAAATAATACAATTTTAAATTTTTGCGGGAAATTGTAGTTTATCATATCCAAAGGCATTTACTTTGATATCTTGAAGTTCTTATGCAAGCATTTATGCTATCGTTCATCTATTTAATCTATCCCATCATCATGGTCTCACAGCC